GGGTGGGATGTCTGGTCCTAAAATGGCAACAAGGGGGTAGGGCAACTGTCAAGGGGTGGGGCTACCCATATGGCCCTTGATAGCTCACCAAAACCCATTAAGTGGCCCTTCACCCGAAATAATTGGCTGCCCCCAACGTAACGCCTACAGGACACAAAATGCAGTTCTAGATTAAAAGTGCCAGTAAATCTACAGAGAATATTTATCCTTTTTTAAAAAAGAGAAAATTGTTAAACAAAATGGTATAGATTGAGCTTATTGCTATTTCAGATTGACTTTTCTCTTCTTGTGTTTATCCATACAACATATATTGCATTTACCTGTGTTATGTAGCTTAAATCTCTTGTTTACTATCTCCTGGAAAAAAACCATCTTTGAAAGCATGTTCAAACTGCCACTTACAGCATCTGAATTCCATAACCAAAGTGGCACTGTGGGTTCACAGAAGTGAAAAGGGAAGCTTTCTGTTCATCACAGGTCCTAGGAGGGAGAACCACAATAGATGAAAGTATGGGACCATGTAAACAAGTACAGTTCTGATGAGCACTTACGGAATTGGTATCGTCATTCTGGTAGCTTTTGAGTAATCAGCTGAGCAGCCAGCAGGAATTTCATTTAACTGACTTATCTTTCTTTTGCAAAGATACAGTTGCAGAAGGACACTCCTGACAGACATGACTCCCCCCCACCCCCCCGGCGCTTTACTGGAAGAGGAAGCATGTCAGTTTGACCCAGCTCTCTAGCATTTACATAGATCGGGCACTTCAGCAGGCCTCTACGGCACTTTTATCTAAAGCTGATTCAATCAGCTATTACATAAAAGTGTCAAAAAGACCCGCTGGTGTGCCTGTTCTATACAGTTGTTGTGAGAGCCAGGTCAAACTAATGTGATGCCTCTTCAGGGGATATGTTGTGTTCGGCACAGCGGTGCACCAAGCTTAAAGAGCTGTTTGGGGTTTTTTCTTCACAACTGTAATCATCTTCTACAATGATTTTTTTTTTTTTTGGAAAAAATCCCCAAAAGTTTACTTGAAAAAATTAAGGAAATAATCAAGTTAAAATCATGGTTAGAAACTACTTCTAGAATTGTGAATCTTTTACTATCATTTTCATCTTTACAAGAAAAAATTCCCTGCTTGACAGATTTAAGATACACATATAATGAATGAAGAGCTTGCCTCTAAGCAACAGCAGAGTCTGCTGTTATTTTCCTATGCATCTGGGACACTTAAAAAAACACACACACACAAAACTTTTCACCAATTCAGCATTGCTCTGTTTGGGAACTCTGTATTATAGCACACCACATTGTAAAATAAGCACAACAAGAATTAACGTAGCAGAATTAACAATGTTGCTAAAAATATAACATTTACTTCAGATTTCTACTTAAGTGCTTACCCAATTAGAAAATAAAAGAAACAAGCCTTGTGTTTATTAAAAGTTTCTCTCTCCCCACACATATTTCATTGCCTAATACTTAAAGCTTAATACAAATAGCTTAGCTAAAAACTCTCTCTAAATCTAGTTGAAAACTAAATTACTGTATTTATTTGAATAGAAGATGACACCCCCTAATAATTAGATTTTATATATGGAAAATGTATAAATTTGTTATAATTTTCCAGGTATAGAATCTAACTATTGAAGCTTTGCTTTAGATTTGCCCCTTCCCACTGCTGCATCAGGGAAAACAAATCTGGGGGGTCAGGTAGCTGCTTTGCTCTCAGCTTCACCCCCAGCTTTTTCCTCTGGTAGCCCCTTCCCCTTCTTGTTAGACTCTGCTCTCCACGACCATATGGAAGTGAGGAGCAAAATTTAAAACAATACCCTTGAAATCAAACATGGTTGTAGCTCTTCACATATAGTACACATAAACTTTGTTCATCCAGAATTGATGCATGGTACTTTTTTTGAAACTGGTGCACAGGAGTTTTAGCACAGGAACTCTAGAAACACACTTTTGAGCAGCACTTTGGCACCTTTTCCCCCCCGCAAATACACACACACATGCACACATCTATAACTCAATTAATTAATCAATCTTCACTGGCAACACTCTGCCAATTGGCCCCTGTGGTTCACTTGGCAGATCAAAGCACACTTTGACAGTGAAAACATTCAAAACTGTTTACACAGTTTGCACCATGTATCCGTACATCCATCTCCTACCCGTACCCTAACCCACTGCCCTCCTCAGAGGGACTGCCCTTGAAAAAGTCTGTGCCAGACCCCTTGCACCATATGAAGTCCTGCCATTTCTTTCCCATTGTCCTCTTCTGTATTCCTGTAGTACCTGTACATTTCACTTAGTCCTATTTTAATACAGTGCTTGACTGTGGAGTCTGAGTGTCCGTTTATGAGCAGGCTCCTGGCTTTCCACAGTGCATACCTGAAGCAGGATATGAACTGGTCAAAGCGAGCTGTTGGGGTCCCTTGCTGTCTGGTCAGGTGCCTGTAGAGGACTGCTTCCTGGTCAGGTCTCCACCAGGAGTTCATGGACTTTCTTCCATGCCTCTCTGTTGTTTGGGCATTCCCAAAAGAGGTGGTTGATCAGTTCTGCCTGCCAGCAGCAGGTCTGTCTCAAGCAGTTCGATGCACCTCTCTGCCCTGCCTTGTTTTTCCATGCCCACATGGGGAGCTCCTGGTGGGCTGCCTGCCTATTCAGGTCTCCAACTTTTCTCTGAGCCTAATCTGCATATAAAACAAGTGGTTCCAAACAGGAGTTTTTATCACATCTTCAACTCTCCTATGAAATATGAACTTTCATTTCTACCCAAGGGAACTTTTACAATCTTTTCTCTGATGCCTGAAGAAGAAAGTTTGTGCCCCAAAGCTTGCAATTAAAGAATTTTTTTTGCAACAATCTAGTTGGTCTAATAAAAGATATCACCTCTACCACGAGTCCTGATTGCTTTGTATAATTGTGTTACTTGAAAGTGACAGTGACGAGTACGCAGGCATGGAGGTGCGTGATGCGGTTTTTATAATAGGAATAAGAATGGTGCAACTGTAAAGGTGCTTTTTGGACCATCAAGTGAACCACAGCAGTCACACAACAGGTTGATAGAGGTTTTTGCCAAAAAGAAAAAAGAAAAAAAAAAGCATTTTTGGTACCATGGGAGGGCTTGCTTCAGCCTGTCTGAGTGCTGGCTTTGTATTGCAATACCTACAGTACCTCCAGGCCCACTGCTTATTCCCTTCTGGGGGAATAACTGCTGGTGATTTTTTTTTTTTTTTAAATAAGGGCCACATACAGACACCCCCCCACAGAGGTTCCCATCAGCATGTTTTCCCCATGTGAGCCATGTTGGCTGAATTTAATTTACTTTTTAATTGGCTTCCATTTCTGAACGCATGCTGCTGCTGGCAGCAGTTTAATGACAGACAATGTATTTAGTGAGAATCCCTTGTATGTAATTATAAGACAACGGGTCTTTTTCCCCATGCCAATTTGGGGGGAAAAAAACCTCATCTTGTATTTGAGTAAACAGGTTATGCTTGTGGTTAAAGCAGTCCTATTCCAGCTTAGGAAATATGACAATGAAGAGCCACAACATATCACCATGTTCAGGAAAATATACTCTTCATTTTAAGAGGGACATCAGACTCTGACAAGGATCAGAGTTCAAATTCAAAAGCTGGGCTGAACATACACTAGAGGAAAACTCCAGATTTGCAAAGATTATAAAATGAATTGAAGCACCCCTCCTACCCCAAACAAAGCAAAACAAAATACCACACATTCACTGAGCTTTGTTAAATCAAAGTTACTGGGCCTAGTCCTGAATATCTTTAGTCCTGAATATCTTTAGATGAAGGAAGTTATGCTGCCTCCGAAGACGCACGCTATACCTGATATTATAATGAAAACATTAACATTCTGAAAATAAAACACAACATAAAGGAAATGTTGTGGAAGATATAATGCATATCTCTTAGGTTAAAATGGAAGGGTTATATCGAAACATACTAGGATGGATGTAAAAAAAACAGCTGGTCAGTCACAATGCACACTGAGAGTTTCCTTAACCTACTTAAAACAAGCAGCAGCCTAGTAAAAGGTCGAAACCCAGGTAACAGAAGTAGCACGGTAATTAAACTCTTCACTGACACATAGGAAATCCTCCTACAAGTTACTTATAAAATACATTGGCTTCCATAGTATATTGATTTTTCCTATCATGAAGTAAAGTGCAGCATATTACACAAGCATGGTATCATTCCAGTGTTATGAATGGTAAAATAAATATGTTGCCACCAACTATGATAGATAAAAGCCAGTGAAGAAGACTTATAAATATGAATTTAAAAAAAAAATCACAATATGTAACTTATGCTGAAAACGAGAGGACACAAAACCAGAGTACCTTTCCAAATCAGTAGATACAGAAATGTTCTGTAACACACAATCGATATTTCTACAAATAAAAAAAAAATCCATTCTGTGTCATCATCTCTTTGGAAGCAGCAAGTGCATGCAAAGAGCATATAAAAGCTTCTGTGACTTACAAGTACAGATCCTACTGGATCTGGCAAATGTGTAAAACATTTGGAGGCAATTAAAAAGCAAAAGGAATGAGTGGTCTGATTTTCAAAAGAGGATATTTTAGGAGACGTTGTAAAGACTGGCAATGCACCATTTAACTCACCATCTCCTCTCTGATCACTCTCCTCCTGCCTATACCTTCTAGGAAATAAAATACTCAGACCCAAATGCAGCATTCCAGGCACAACTGTACCGGTCTCATTCAGGCGTTTACCTTCCTCTCCAGATCCACTGTCCTCTATATGTGCAGCTTAAAATTATATTTGCCCTTTTGGCTTTCAGTTAATGTTACCAATTCATGCTTATTTTGCTGTCACCTATGCATTTTTCTTATTCAGTATCTTTACCCAGATATATTAGCTCAGCCTTGCAAAATGTTATTCACTTGCTTAGAGTTTTTGGGGTCTTTTTGACAGGCAAGTTTTCATCACCACCAAGGTAGAAGAGACTTTGTCCCTTTGTGTGGTAAAATAAATTCAAAGAGATTTTTCTGGCTTCTGATTTAAAATCCTTGAACATCCCTAAAGCAATTACATCAATTGTTCATGGTACTTTTACTGTGTTTTATCCATCATTTGCATATTCACCTAGAAATTAGGTGGGGAGGGATGGGATCCAACAGCATGTGACCAGCCAGCTCTCTGCAGGCCACCAGAAAGTACTCCACATACCATAGCTTAGGAACTTCTGACCTGTGATATACAACTCGTATATGTTCCAGCTGACTTTCATATCTTCACATGTTCCAAGTATTCCCTGGTGGGCTCTGTTCTTTGTGAAGGACTATTTTTATAGGTTTTCTCATTTCTTAGCTGTCTGAACTTATTTATTTCTGTAGCTGAAAACAGATTTATAATCAAGTTCAGTAACTCAGTCATGTGACTCCTTATTGGCTTGATTCCCTTGTCCCTTATTAATAATTTTCTGACTCCCTGTTCACACTAATGTGGCTAACTACCCCTCTCTGCTTTTTTTCTGATAGGTTTATAAAAGATGTTATTTCCTTGGATTAGCATCAACTCCCTCCAGTTTTTTCTACATGATGTCTTGGGAGTCAAGCCTCCCTCCAACACATCAGCTCCCAAATTCACGACACCTAAAGACAGCCAGTGTTAGCCCACAATTCAGAAGCTTCAACCAGACAATGAAGAGTTTTGTGTGATTCTTTCTGGACCTTTTTCACTGCAACGGTTGCCTACTGTAAGCGCCTTTAAATACACAGGTAACAGGGCATTTGGGTTTTTTTTTTTCAGAGAATGAAATTATCACTGGAAAAATGTGTTTTTTGTTGTCCCAAAATTTAGTTGTGAATAAACTGTAAACAGTTTTTGCTTGAAAAAAATATTTTCAGAACCAGACTCACCAAACAGTTAAGAATGGTGGGCTTCCTCCTACCAGAGAATCCAATCTTTAGCGCATTCACATGGAGTGTGCAAGACCCAACACATCAATCCATATCCCCCACTGCTCTAGCCTAAATATAACCTCTACTTTACATAATTAAATATTCACTGGAGCAGGAACTAGATCTAAGGTATCCTAACCACCAGACTTGAATCGTCCTCCAAACTTCTTCAAATCTGCTTCTTCCAGATTCAGGGATTTAAACCAGCATCTTCCACCTCTCAAGAGAATTCTGTAAGTACTCATCTATAAAATATAGTCTTTCAGATGTACAGATAGGTCTTTCTTGCTGAAGAGATTGCATGGAATAATTATATATGTCCTGATTGAGAGAGAGAGATTTTAAACCTTTATAGTAAAAATATTAAAAACTAAAGAAGGTGAAAGTGCAAAGGTATGTGGCCCTCCCAGGGACTGAGCATGAAACGCTTGTCAGTAACAATATCACCATATTACCAGATTGAAACCTCCTGCCATAGGGTTAAGAATAGTCCTTTGCCTATTTGTTGCGACACAGGCTGCAAACAGACATCACATTTATTCCAGGATATACCATATTATCCCCAAAGTGCAATCACATGGATGTCCATGTCTGCTGTCCCAGGATAAATCCTAAAAAAGTTTCCCGAAGTTTACCTTGGGATATTGCAAAGTATGTCTGTACAATAATCCCAAAATTGCATCGTTGAATCAATGGCAGAAAAGAAGCACAGCCACTCACCAGGGCTGCCAACTGTCAAGAATTTCATGGACACTCCATAAATAACTAGGCTGAAAATGCCTGTCAATAAATTCTGTAACAAAAATTATGTCATTTGAAGGAAAAAGAGCTCTGCAAGATCAGTCCTGTAAAAGCACTGAGTTCCTGAAGCTCTATAGTCAGAGAACAAGCTGCTCCTATTGTTAAAGCACAGATGGGCACAGCAGTGCCACCTGGTGTCTGAGCAGGGGTCCAGCACCCCAAAAGCTAGGTCTTGTCAGGGCTTTATGGGTGCACTATACACAAGTGCGGAGACTGCTCCAACACATAATTACCGTGCATTGGAGCAGACTCAATTGAGTGGTAATTACCGCGTTCCAGCAGCCTCCTGCATCTCGTATATCAACGTCCCCATGCTAAAAAATGGCAGTCGGGGTGCTTGAATTTAAAGCTCATTGAATGGGGACACTGATACATGAGATGCTGCAGTGCTTTAATTAGACCAGCTCTTGGTCAGGAGTACCAGGGTGTGGGGGTGAGCAGGGGACTCCTGCAGGGGGCAGCATGCTGTCAAACCACTGCTACATGAAGTAGTGTTACCAACCCAATATTTTTATTCATTTTTTACCAGTAATCAAACTTTTTTTTTAACGATGGTTTGCTTGGTCTGGCAGAATAGTTACATTTACAGGATTTTACTGACATGTTTTACACAATGTGTCAGTAAAAAAGTCAGATCATCAGTAAAAACTTTGAAATTATCAGTAAAAAAACAAAAACAAAAAAGAACTGTTGTGAGGTGGCAATGCTGCCACTCACTAAACCCTGATTAAAAGGGCTGACAAGTATACTTGCCTATCCTGGGATATTTTTGTTCCAGGACATAGAAACGCACAGTTTATCCGGAGATAAATGCAATGTCTGTTACTAATCTGACTTGGGGTTCAGTCCCTGCTCTAATCTACTACACTGCTAGGAGTTAAGTTTCTAAGTAGCTTTTAAAAAAACCTCTTAAATTCAGTCCAATAAGAATTTATGCATGTACTTAAATTTACCCTGAAAAACCCCAAACAATCCCACTGGACCAACCCTGTACATGCTTGACATGAGAATAATTCCATTAACTTCAAGAGATATGAAGTCATATGATGAAATTTACAGGATTAGCACTCCAGGGATGCCATACAAACTTAGAATTTTCAGTGTACTACTACTACTACTACTAATAATAATAATAATCTGCCAGCCCAGCAACTTTAACCTGACTTCTCAGGGAAGCTTTGCAAGTTTCCTAGCAAGCACCAGTAAGCCTTCAATACTTGAGGCATAATCATATTTATACTATTTTGAGGTGAAGACTCCACATTCCAATATTAATTCTGCTAGCTCAGTCCAATTAAAGATGTATAATACTGATACATCTCATAGATTATTATATTAAGGTAAAGAAAAAAAAGATTAAGGGCAAATTATAAAAACAATTTATTAGAACATATCATTTCTTAAATCACTTATAAAACCTTATGTTTGCTACAACGATCTCTACAATGTTTAACTGGTCCTGTAATAGGCTTTCAAAAGCCATTTTTGTGCTAAAATCAGTGCTTTATTTTTGCATTTCTTGATGCTTCTGAATTCGTGATTTTTTTTTAAATGTTATGGTTTTTCATAATTGCTAGACATACTCTTGAGGAAAAAGTATTAAACTAATATAAATAAAATTGAATGCACATGTAGACAACCAAAATGTAGCAGAAAACACCAGGTTAATGACATGATGAGAAAAACTAATTAAATAGGACTATATTTACCTGCATACCACATGCATCTGTCCCCCCCAAAAAATAACCTTTTAAATTGGGTGAGTGTTTTAAACAAGGAAACTGATTTCCTTGCTGGAATGGAGACATAGGGTAGCTGCTAAAATAGCTGCTGGGGGCTCTGCTCTGTTTCCAGCCACATATAGAAGGGGCAGAGCCCATGCCTTAGCACAGGGGTGGGCAAATTAAGATTCAGCTGCCACTTGATGAGTTTTGGTGAGCTGTTAAGGGCCACACACACAAAATCTTTCAGAAGATATCATTTTAACAAATTATAGAGAAAAACTAAAGCATATACTATATTAAAAAAATCAAATATCTACTATTTTTTAATTTTATTTGAAAAAAT